CTCTATCGACACTGACCCGACGGTAGCCCTTTCCCCCCTTTGGGACGGCTTCACTCACCTATCAGTATTCAGTGCCCAAAGACACCTTAATCCATAGAAAATTATATTACTCTGTTACGGACCTTAAGATCACCACATCATAAGCTAGCTCAAAGGGTGAGAGTGCCCAAGGCCTTATAAACCCCACATTAGCTTCCATACAACCAATGTGGGACTCGTAATATTGCCACCCCTTTAAGGGCCGACATCCACGACGACTTTTACTCTATCGACATTGACCCGACGGTAGCGCCCTCTTCTCCCCTTTGGGCTCCCCCTTTGGTGGGGCTTCACTCACCTATCAGTATTCAGTGCCCAAAGGCACCTTAATCCAGCCTATAGGTAGCCCTTTCCATGGCACCAACTCTCAATGAAAGCACCAATTGTTACGAACCTTAAGATCACCATCCCAAAAACTAGTTCAAAGGATAAAAGTGTCCAAGGACTTATAAACCCCACATTAACTTCCTATACAATCAATGTGGGACTCGTAACATACTCCCATACAATATGAGAGAGTAATATAACCCTTTAAATAAATATAGTTTTGTCTAAAAATAATAAAGAAGTATTGAAAATCAATTTGAAAAGTTGGAAGGAAAAGACAATTAGACAGCTTTAAAGAAAACAAGAAGGAAAAAAAGCTAATAGAAAGAGACATTCTAAAAAAGCCAAATTAACCTGCCATTGTCTCTGGAAAAAGCACCGTACTAAGAAGTTTTGGTAAAAAAAATTTCTAGTGAAAACACGTTTGAGAAGTAATGGAAGACACGTAGGTTGACCAATCCCGTATGATTAGACTACGGGACTAGGCTCCATGTTTCGTTGGAGAAGCTTACAACACTCGGTAATCCATAAGTAGAAGAGGAGGGGGGACCAAAAATATAGTAATCCAAAAATAAGGGAAATCATAAATACAGTAATTCAAAACAAAATGATGAAACATAAGTTACGATGGTAGAGGCCATTTCTTATATATTTTAAATATGAAGTTGTCTAAATAAATATGATATGTAAGTATTTTTAAACTCTTTTTGTGTTTTGAACTTATATCTTAAGGAAATTATTTGCTCATGACATAAGAGATAACTTTTTTATATTGTGGGACATTGAAATCCGTGCTATCCTTTTTTTTAACAACTGATAGGTCTCACCACTTGTTGTGTCTATGACATAAGAGATACTACCTCATGTGACATGAGAAAAGATAAGCCGTATATCTTATATAGTTATGTAACTTATATATTTTAAATATGAAGTTGTCTCGTTGAATTTTGAGTAGTGACTTATGTGAATTTTTTTACATGTTTATACATCATTTTGTATCTTGACCTTAAGTAGTAGAAACTTTACATTTTATGTCATTTTTACAATTTATATTTCTACCATAATCCCTTTCTGTTTTTACGTATAAACTCATTTTTGAATTTTTGATAATATTGGTCTTTATTATGTTCTTGTTATCCTTTAATTTTTTAAATCTCATTTTAAATTCTTTAATATTTTCGAATATATATGTGTACATGAGAAACGGAAATGATCCCCTCAGCCTCAGTGAGAATAAAGATGGAGACAAGGAAAGCACTACCGTACCATTCTTAATTACGAGTTAACTTGTAATGCCATATCAATATTAAAGCAGTAATTTGTATAAATAATTATATTAAAAAGTTTTAATTAGTATAAATAAATTTTAAGATAAATATAAAATATGAAGCTTTATTTTTTAAAAGCCTTTATAAAACAAATTACACATGTTTCATTTATATTTAAGAGTAATGTTATATTTACAAATTTTTATTTACAAACTATATAAGGATAATACATATTACTTGAGCATGTATTATCTGTAGTATATGGTGTAATCTGTATGAATTTGTAAATATAACCTACCATTATATTTAATCTCATTTGTTGGAGAATTAAAATCAATTTTCACTTTTTTCACAAACGCTGGACCCGTATTTGAAATCACACTGTTGGGCCTGTGAAAGACATAGTGTGATGGATGGAATCCAAAAAATCTGACATTTTGTCACCATAATATTGGCAATGCCATTCGCAAATAAGGCATATATATCTTATAGCAATCATATCATGTGATAGATAGATGCAAAGTTAATTGAATTGAAAGTTCGAAATGGCCTTGAAGGCCGATGCATGCAAGAGGAAAAAATAAAATTTTTCTTTGCAGAATATATATGCACATCAAGATCATGCTTTAGGAAAGCATGATGTTACCTTGTTCGTGAAATCACCAGATGATCAAGGCCGGTCTGAAGGGTTCAGACCTTCTAACGTTGATCCACACCACCCATTCGTCTAGGTGCAAAACTCCTTCTTGTGAAGCCACCAGATGATCACCACAAAGAGGCTTCTAGGCGCTCTATGTGTGAAGATGGAGGCTAGGTGAAAGTGTTTGAAAAAGTGAAGCTCTCAATGTGAAAGCTTCACAAGTGGCGCAGGGAGAGGAGAGAATAGGCTAGGTTTTCAGAAAAACCCTTGGAGGAACTACTGATCACACAGGCGCATAAGAGGAGAGTATTTAAAATAAAATACCAATCAGATTTTTCTCCTAAAAATCTAATCATTAGGCGCCAGATTGGAGAGAGAAGTGGAGTTGTTTTATTTCAAAAATTGCTAACAGTCTCCTAGAATATTCTCTTGAGAATTGGTTCAAAACCTATTCAAAATTTTGATCAGAAATCTTCATAAGATCAGCTATATGGTGCGCCCCATATAGCCCAAAAAGGTGACCAGATACATCTGAGTAGTTGCATTCAAATTTGAATCAACTCACAAAGATTTTCTCCCAACTGACTAAATCTTCTGGAGCTGATTTTGATGAGCAAATCTTGCTCACCAACAACCCAAATCAGCGCCATATATGGCCTTGGATCTTGTCCAAAAGATTCTCTCGTGATACTAGTGATTTGTTCCAACAAGATCTCATTTTATCCTTTTGTTATGAAATAACCTTTCATAGGCAATTCAAATTCAAATTCAAATATTTGAATTCAAACATTCAAATATTCAAATATTCAAATTCAAATGTTCAAACATTCAAATTCAAAATTCAAAATTTCAAATTTCAAATTCAAAATTCAAATTTCAAATTTCAAATTTCAAATTCAAAATTCGAATTTCGAAATTCAAATTCAAAATTCAAAATTTCAAAATTCAAATTTCGAATTCCAAAATTCAAAATTTAAATGTTTGATAATTAATTTAACTAATTAAATTAATTAGTAATGTCTTGGACTATCCAAGCCCATTACAATGAACCATGCGCCCTCCACCCCTTTAGGTGGAGTTCCAAACAACTTCTTGGGCTAATAACTATTATTAGACCCAATACCTTTAATGCTAGAGCATCTAGACAATTAGGTGTTTGTGTGTGACCCATTAGGTCCAACTTAGTCACTGACATAAATGGGCTTGGGCCCAATAAGCCCACAACCCATCTAATGACAACATAGAGCACTAGATATGCTTAGTTACCCCAGAACTAGTTAGATTAATGATTTGATCATCCTATTAAACATATTTGGTTGCCGTATATATTTCCTTTCGTCTCGGTTACCTTCCCATAAAACCTAGGGTAAGGAAGCGTATCAACCCCTGTGATTTAGGGTAAGCTTTATTTGAAATAGGGAATCTTCAATTTACAGACTCTAAAGGCAGATCATCTCATGATCTCTTTTACTATGCATAGATTCCCGAGTCCCTGTAAATGTCATCCCAATTTCTCCGGTTTACAGATAACCTAATCTCTCACAGAGATTTGACGAATTCCTTCAGCTTATCACCCTAGCCCTGTGTTCTTTCAGGACAAGCCCAACAGTATACCTATGAGTCTCCATGTTTCAGGCAGACGAGGTGCACAATCAAAGCATGCCTTCTAGAACACAGTCTAGGTAATAACTTCTGGTCTTAGGAAAGACATACCCAAATATAAAGAGACTACTCTAATGATACTCTCTGTGAGAGTTCCTCATAGAGTCTCTTTGTGGGTCCGTTCAGTGCGAGCTATACCCTTATAGGTCCATCCACGACTTTAGCTAAGATATCTCCATATCTGTAGCACATGAGGTCTATACCTTGTATCCATATACAAATAGATAAGTCGTGCTAGTCTTACCCGAGATTATTGACCCCATTCTCAGTATCTCTAGACTAGGAACATAAAATTAGGAATAAACATCTGGTATTCTTGAATCCTCATGATTGTGATCTCATCACAGATACTCAAGAGATACCTATTTTATTCCACGGGGCTTATCATGTTATTCATAATATATTAATATTAATATCGAGACATAATTATGAAACAAGATAAAGAGTGCTTTTATTTATTTGCGACAATATTAAAAAGTTCTACATCTCTGTCCTTATTTAATCATAAGATTGTCTCTAGGACACCCAAATACTAACATGAATAACCCCGATTTTGTTATAATTTTTTAGACTGTAAAATTGTGAATCTAAAATCTTTCTAAACATTTCAAAAAAAAATAAAATCTTTCTAAATATCATTATTTATAATATTACTTTATCTGTTACTAGTTGTGATCCCTAGTATTTTGCAAGCTTAAATTTGTTTCTTGCTAGCGTTTTTGTTATAAATTATGCATAAATATCACTAAAAACTCTTCACTTCTCTGCTTATTATTATTTTATTTTATTTTGAAATGAAATGAAACGAAATTGACAGGCATTGCACCGCTACCGCACATTCCAAGTTCCAACCCCACCCTTCCTAATTCCTATCGGTAGAGGCAGAGGCACAGAGGCAGCTTTTTTTGGTGCGTCGCTAATAGACAGTCTCTTATTCCATTATTAGATGCCTCATCAGTCAAAACAGTACGTAGAGATAAAAAAATCACATTAATATTCAACTTTATATTATATCTTGTCTCCTTTCTATCTTTTATTCGTCCTCCAAAACAAATGTGGACAAGATGACGCATGATGAACCCTTCAAGCACCGTGAGTATATGAAGAACCCCACTACTCTTTCACTTCCTGATATGGAGGACTCATGGGAAAATTGGCTCTCTCATTTGGTAATCATTATTATTTTATTATTCATTTAATAATAACATTGTGCTATAGCTATAATGTTAATTACCCTTATTATCAATTTATGTTTAGATGTTGATGATCTCCATGTGTTAAAAGAGTATGATAATATTGGTTTTTTGCTAAATTTTTGTTCAAAGGGAATGAGTTGGAATTCTGCCACAGTCACTGCCACCGCCGCCGTCGTCAGTGGTTTATCTTTTGAAGAGATTGTAAGCTTCGACGGCCACTATTCCGATAGCTCCAATGGTGTAAAACAACACTACTCTTATTTGAAGACAATACAAGAGGAGTTAGCAAGTTATTGTTCATCTCCTTTGACAACAAAAAGGGCTCTAGGGAACTATGAGTCTGAGCCAAAGGAGAATAGAGTAACAAAGAAGGCCAGAAGCTCTTCTGAGGCATTACATCACATAATGTCAGAGAGAAAAAGAAGACAGGACATAGCCGAGAAATTCATAGCACTTTCAGCTACTATACCTGGCTTGAAGAAGGTAATTAATTAAGTTCTCCTATAATATTGGATACTCATGTTTCATTTTAGCGTGAACACTGTCACGTGAGAAATAGCATTAATGACCTGAACTCAAGTTGACAATCTAAAACCGAAACCAATAGTCAATAAATAAAAGATTTTAGTCTGGTTGCTAATATAAGCATGGATCAGTTTTAAATTAACAGCAGTAAGATATGGTATGCTAAAAATAATGTATTTTGTGATAAAATATTGAAACTAAGTTTAATTGAATCAATACTTAAATTTTTAACTGAGGTGCAGTGCAGTTATTTTTTTTTTTTTTTTTTGATAACAACAGTGCAGTTATTTTAGCCTTTTAGGAGCGTAGAATAGATAGCTTGTAAGGTTTAACGTGTTTCTAATTATATTTCATGTTAGAATGTTTCGGTACATAAACGTAATAGTAAGATTATATCAAAGTAAAATCTATTGGTGAGAAGTCTTTTCTTTTCGCCTTTTTAAACCATGAGGTGTGTCTAGCACTCATAATTTTTTATTCGAGTATCAATTTAGTCGTAGCCAATAGTCATAAAGTATTTCACAGAATTTTGAATTGCAAATAAAATTCATCCAGAAATAATTTCGTTGGCCAACTAAGTGTTAACTTGTGAGTTATGGTTTCCTCAAGCTTACAAATAATTCTGGCCTTGAACTTGACGATTAGGTTATATATAATTTTTTTCCAACTATTACAAGGGTATACAAAAATGTGTGTGGATGAAAACATGAAAAGACTCGCCATAATAACAAATGAAATTAAATCTCATAATTTCGATCGCTATTAGATAAATTAAGAAGATTATGTGAGTTACGATTTAAAAATTTGTGTAGGGACCTCCAGTCATATAAAGTTATATGTCTACTTCTCTCTCTTTCTATGATCTTGTCGTGTGAAATATTCACTCAAAGAGAGTGTCCAAATGCATTGGACGAACATCATTATTTGCATTATTCATAGAAAAACCAAAACTTAAAAAGCAGATTTTAATAATGTCTATTTTTTTGCTTTTTGACCTTTATATTGCACATATGTAGACAGACAAGGCCTCTATACTTCAGGAAGCCATTAATTACGTGAAGCAACTTCAACAACGCATAGCAGTGCTGGAAAAAGAGACAAACAAGAAAAGTATAAAGTCATTGTTCATCAATAAATCACACCTTTGTTCGGTATCATGTGAAACAAAATCTAATGGTTATTATGGAGCCTATGAAGTGCTCCCTGAAGTCGAAGCAAGAGGCTTAGGGAAGGAAGTGCTCATTAGAATCCATTGTGAGAAACGAAATGGCATCTTGCTCAAGTTATTGGCCCTATTAAAAAATATTCATCTCTCAATAGCCAGTAGCAGCATATTGCCATTTGGAAACTCTATTTTCAACATTATCATTGTTGCTCAGGTAAACCACATTGCAAAAATATAGGTCCATTTTCTCAAGCAATATAAGATTACATTTCAAATATACTATTAATAATATTAGTATTATGGGTATCATCCCATTCAAAACTAATCGTATTTTTGTATTGATGTATAATGGTTTGAAATTCTAAATTATTATAAAGAATCGATTCAACTCAAAAGTTTAAACTGTTCGGTGAGATTACATTAATGATTTTTTATACTTTTCTAATAGTTTAAGTCGTGGATGATGCACAAGTCCAACTACCTATGCTAAAATATTCCATAAGACTTAATTAATTATTAATTAAATCGGGACGGTTAAAATTGAATCTATGATACCGAGTTTTTGATACGTAAAAAATCAATTCAACTCAAAAATTTAATCTATTATGTGAAATTAGATTAATGAATTTTTATATACTTCACTAACAATTACTGCTAGAATTATATTGCAGATGAGCGAAGAATACAAGTTGACGGTGAACGATTTGGTGAAGACATTGAAACAGAATCTTTTTGAAGTTGTATGACATGCAACTGTGATCCATGCTAGCGAATAATACGAGTTCTCTAATCCTTGTCGGAAGTTCTTATTGTTTGAGGAGGGTAACTACTTTTTTATTCTTTTCTTTCTTTGAATCAGTTCAACAGAAACAAGTAACAACACCGATGTGTTAATGTCGTTTAATTTGTTTTCGTATTATATCAAAAAAACGAAATTATGTGTGTACTTTTGGTTTAGTTAATTTGTTGATTCATCAAATGCATATTCTACCCAAGTTAAGTTATTAATTTAAATAAAAAGTTCTATATAAATATGACTACGTATATTGCATTGCATAAGGTATGCGTTCATAAGATTTCCACCTTTGTTATTTCATTTTGTAAAATTTAATTGATTGGTGTCATGGGAGTGTGGAAATTTAATTTATTTGAGAAGATCTCGGATATTTTACAACTTTTAGTGACAGGGCCCCATAGATCTTGTTACCTTCAATTATTATTTATAATTATTAATTATACTGTGTTGTAAAACAAAAAAGAGGAAAGGAGAATTTTCGATTGCAACGTAATGCTGAGGGTTGATTTTTGTCATTTAAAATTAACTATAATTTATTAGGGAAATTTTTTTCTTAAGATGTTAGGGATAAGTTATCTTATGTCAGTAAAATAAAATTATAAAAGAGATCCATAAATAATTGGAGAGAAAAAAAGAAAGTGAAACTCATCTTTATTATATGGGTAAAAAAATATATTACCTTATATTGAATGAGATAAATATAACCCAAATTATTATTATCGGTTATTGATAGTAAATGTTATGTTAGACAAGGGAAGATTGGAAGCTGAAGTTATTCGTTTGGATGCAATTTTTTTTCTCTGAAAGCTGTTTTTTTTTTAGAAAAAAAACATTTTTTACTATAAATTTATTTGAATATTTGTTTAAAAAAAGTAGAAATTACAAAAAGGAGAGTCAAAAGACAAATATTTTTTAAAAATATAAATAACTAACTTTTATAAAAAATATTTGCAAAATAAACAAGACTTTAACTTTTTTTTTTTAAAGACCAAATAAACGAATTCTAAGATCCAATGCACCAGTAACTTACCTAGATTTATACAAATAAATACTAATAAATTTATATAACTATGCAAAATATGATATAATATCAGTTTCAATATATTTTATTTTCTGTTCAGCGTCGTATTTTTCTAGAAACAACCAGACACGCCGTATATTTATAAGCAAACAATTTTGAAAATTATCTCTTCGGTTTTAAAATAAAAACTATAAAACTTAAAAGCTAAGGCAATGAAAAAATAAAAAAGAAAAAAAGAAAAAATCAGCCCAATATCATTAAACCACAACGTAATATATTGTTGGGATTTGCTTTCATCCTGTTACCCGATAGATGAATAGCTTTTCCTGCACAAATAGAATTATGGAGGGGCCATTTTAAAAAAATAAAAGAAAAAAAAAATAAAAGAAAAGGGGATTTCCGATGTATCAGCAGGATATGATTTCATTGTTATGTTGGCTTTTTGACCCTTATGCCCCTTAATTAATAATTAATTACCAAATTGTCCCTCATTCAAAACTATTTCGAAAATTTACCCTCCCCAACAAACATAACACCAATCTGCCCCTGTTTGACCGTTGACCACGAAGCCTACCCGGGTACACCATTACCTACCCGGGTAAATTTTGAAACTTTTTATCTACCCGAGTATGTAGTGGTGTACCCGGGTAGAGTTCTTGAATCTGGGAAAATGTTTGAATTATTTACCCGGGTACGGAGCAGTGTACCCGGGTAAATAGCGTCCAGAAACCCCAATATGTATGGGTTTCGGCCATTGTTGCGAGGTATAGGGTTTTTGAAACCCCAAATCTTTCTCTCTTACCCTCTCTAATCCGAAACATCACACATATTTCATCTCATCATTTCAGAAAGCTGAATCTTGGGGGGACATTGAGATTACATCTCCACACTCCCATTTTGTGCTAAAAAATCCGAACCAACCTCCAAACCCAAAACCTAGATCTAATTTTTGTGTGAAAGATGAGTTCAAGTCCAAACATGGTTCCTATAGTTGTTTACTACAATGGGAGGCATTTTGAAGGTCCGAACGGTGTCCGATTTGAAGGAAAAAATAAAACGATGAAAATCAAAGTGGGCACTACATGCAATGAACTGAAGGAGAGAATTCTTCAAAAAATGGGGTCAGAAGGCATACATTCCATCCACCGCATGATAGCCAGGTTAGAGACTGTAGTGGATATGGATACAATATACTACATTGGAAACGATATAAATGATGATGAAGATGTGGAGTTCGTAACAGATGCGTTTGTTGAATGGAAAGTATTAAAATATATTGAGATATATGTTGAAGTTGATGTTGGACAATCTTCATCTTTACCGGTGCATACAACCACTACTGCACACTGTACCGGTCAAGAAGATACAGTTGTACGATCTTCTGCACCTCCTCAGGTAGCATGGGATGAGGATGAAGAGGATGAAGACGAGGACTATGTGGACAGTGAAGATGAGGGAGAACCTGAAAGTGCTATTCCAGAAGGTGATTCGTCAGACACTGACGTGGACGGTAATTTTGAGGCTGACATGAGCGCCGTAAGTCTCGGTACCCCAGCCTTGTCACCACTTCATGTCGACCCAGTCAGTAGTGGTAAGTTATTAAATTTGAATATTTGCTTTAGACAATTTATTATTTGTGGTAAGTTATTAAATTTGACATGATCTTTAGATGCAGGGTCTGAGGAGCCATTCTGGAATGAAAGCCAACATTATTCATTCATTAACTGGGCGCACCCTAATGACGAGTTGGAGATCCTATATGGCGATGATGACTTGCACGGAGGTTGGAAGTTAGGAGATCCGTTATTTGTGCAACAAGAATTTGGGTCCAAACCAGAATTGCAACATGCTGTGAAGATACATTGTATGAAGGGGCGCAGGACAGCCATAGTTGAAAAAAGCGACGAGTCAAGATTTGTTATGAAGTGTAAAAACCATGCTGACGGTTGTCCCTGGTATATGAGGGCAATTAAGCCGAAGAAGGGAGCTAACTGGGTGGTCCGTAAATGGGGTCAAGGTCACACATGCCTAAATCACGGCCTAGCACAGGATCATAGACAGTTGGATTCAAATGTCATTTGTGCGGCTATAATGAGTATGTATTCTACTGTTTATTTAATGATTCAGATTAATTGAGAATATGGTAAAGTTAATTTTTTTTTTTCCAGATATGTTAAAGGAAGATCCATCCACAAGACCAACAAGTCTGAACGTGCGCAAAACGAAAATTTCATTCATTCAAATTTTGAATATCCAGTACAAAAACATCCATGCAATGTAGGTAAAGTTCCTAAATGTACCAAAATGACTACATTACATCAAACTAAATCAATGATATGAAACCCTATGGACACACTAATCCGATGCCGTGTCCTCCCCATTCTCTTCATCCGATTGTGTGTCATCCCCATTGTCATCATCCTCCTCCTCCTCCTCCTGAGTATGGGCACCCTCGCCAATTAAACCCTCCAAGCGTGAAACCCTTGTGTCCAACCGTGCAACCCTTGTGTCCATCTGGTTTCGCCACTTGCTCGTGCTCTGTCTATATCCTCTAAAGTCAGTAGTCAGATCATATAAGGATGCCATGACATGATCAAGTGTCCATCCACCCTCAGGAGGAGCTGGTGGTCGCCGACTGCGGGTGGGACGTGTCGGTCTGACATCAACCTCAGCAACGCCATCATCATCGTCATCATCATCAAGGCCTACATCATAAACCATGAAAAACAAACTTCAATACCACATTAAAAATTAAACAACACAAAATTGCATAAACTCATAAAGACCAACACATCACCTGCAGGTGCATCCTCCATCTCAGCATCGTGGTGGAATGGGATCTCAGGTGGTTCTGGTGCCTTCTTCCACGTCCAGATACCCGCTCTGTTCGGTAGGATCCCACACTGCTTCAGGAGCCTCTCACCAAATATAGCATTCCAGCCTCTGGCGGTCTTCAAGGTCTCTGTTGCCATAGGCACTCCAAATCTACGCAGAATCTTCAGCACCAGAAATGCAAAAGGCAATTCAGCCTTCTTTGACTTGGCTGCCTTCCACATCAGTATGCATATGTAATGCCTCCAGTTCACCTGCTGACTGTGAAGGAGGGCCCACAGGATGACAAAGTCCCCTTCCAGCACCTTTGAGTGATTATGCGGGCGCTGGAAAATAATATGTGTCACCACATAATGAAGAATGCGAGCAGAAACTGACAAGTTGCTAACAGGATAATGAGCAAAATGACCGGGCTCAGCGTCTGCCCTCCTAGTCTCTGTAACAATGGTCTCCCGGTTATAATCACCAAATATATGATGGCTGTCTCCATCATATAGTGCTGCTCCTGTGACACCATCAAAATCGAACCCCAGTAGCTCCGTCCAGATAGGAGCAGTCATGATGATATCAATCCCGCAGACACGGGAAGTCAGCTCGCCTTGCGAGTAGCCAAGGTTCTGGTAGAAGGCTCTTACCATAACCTCCGAGTATGGGCACCGCATCTCCGCCAGGTGAAGTAAATGTGTCTGCTCAAGAAGCGGCACGATGTCAAAACGCTCTAGGTTGAAGAATGCCGAATCCAGTGATTTCGGTTCGCAGATCTTCCGGGTCATGAAAAACTTCACGAACTTCTCGTGTGAAGGAATGTCATCCTCAAACAAATATCCGAACGTCAAGTCCGGAGCCTGACTCGAAGCAGCCTGGGGCTGAGAGGATGACGACCCATCGTGACGACTCTTGGTTCTTCTCTCGGAATGGGTCACTGGCAGCTTTGAAACGCGTCGAGAGGTCATTGTGTCACACTATTAAACTGAAAAAATAACCAAAGTCAGAAATTAGATACATGTTAGGGTTAGGGTTAGGGTTAGGGTTAGGGTTAGGGTTAGATTCAGGGTTAGGGTTAGGGTTAGACAAATTGATAAAATAATTCGGACAGA